GTAGGTGACAGTTTGGTAGTAGGTAGTAATTTTTAGTAATCAGCTTAGATTTCACTTATTGAAATGTTTGTTTTGCATCATTTGAGTAAGAAAGATGCTACAGCTCTTATGCGGTGAACAGTATAGTAACATCGATTTATTTATTGCACACATTTCTTATTGTTCAAGGTAAAATATACATACGATGGTCATAAATTTTTAGTTTTATCTTAGTAGAAATGGAAGAAGAAACAGAAAAATATGGAAATCAAAAGGGTTGTTGAAAGATGACCAAACTAAAAACTAAAAATTTGTCCACGAGTGAGAAAATTACGATCATGAGCCAGACGTAGTGCTATGTGTGCAAAACATAGACAGAAATTTATTAAGTTATATTAAGTTATATTGCGTTATATTATATTTTGTAAAATATACTTCCATAGAATTGTTGTGTTAAATCTGCAATTTAATTACGTATAATATTCGTTATTTACATAAAAATGTGATTTGATTTCATTTTATATCTGTATACCATTTCTTCACTATGGTATAGTTTAAAATCGACATTGAATTACACATAAGTACAAATTTTCTTCTAATTAATTTTTTTGCTACATTCATAATGAGATTCACATTATGTCATATATCAGAAAAATTTGCAAGAGGAAGAAACGTTGCTTTTGAGATGCTATTCTTACGAAAATCATTACGTAGCATATAGTATAATTAATTCGTATTTAATCGTATTTAAATTGGATTATTGTATAGATGATATGGTTCAATAATTTTATTTGCATCGATAACTTTGTTGTTTAAACTGTTTAGGTTTAGTAATACATATTGACTATCTATCTTATTATCCACATTCCAGGTCTACTCAGGTACAAAATGCAATTACTATGGTTAAATATTCATGATATAATAAATAACTCATTCCCTCAATGACAGTAACATCGTGAAGTACGACATGCACGTTTTGAAGGTCTTAAAGCAAAAGTATGAAGCAAATGGCAATTAATATAATGTAAGATAATTATAATTAGTCTTATAATATTACATACTATTCCGAAGTTTTCTATATTCATTTCGTACAATCCACCTGCTGTTAATGTGCACAGCTTCTTACTCCTTATTTGCATCGTAAAAAGCATTTTTTGAATTCTCACTGGTATTTTATACCACGTGGATTTATATCTGTTTTGACACGAGTAACGAAAAACTGTATTTTCTTCTATCGATCAGTATTTGTATGTTATACGAATGCAGTAGACACATACATATTATTTGCTAAATCGGAACAATGATCCAGAAGTACCTGTCCAGGTAGACTGATCACAAACAAATGAAATTGTTCAGCGCCAAGGAATATACCAGTTCTAATCGCTTCTGCCGGCCTGTCTAAGTTAGCGACTGTCTGAAAAATGCGAACTTTCAATTAGGTGTGAACGCTTTCGTTTACTTTCATTTATTAGAGTCTCTTTACTTGAACAGCTGTCATGCTTATACCCATCATATTTAATCCAACTTGAATCAAATAACTACTTCGACTGTTATCATTGAGAATATTGTAAAACCTCAAAATTCAATGGAATAATTCAAATTAATCATCAAGCAATAACCATTTCGTAATCTGTTTCATGTTATCGTCATTTGATCATAAAATACAAACTCGATCGCTTTATCGTGTGTGATGACGCAATGTTTGATCTGTTCGTACGTGTAATTCTCTGGCACAGGTTCTCTGGTGAATATAATCGGACTACTAGTTGCTTTTTGGACTTGATACCTGTACATTTTCAATACAGTTGAAAAACGATATTCGAGTTAGTGTTCTGGATACAAAGAGAAACGTGCGACCACTATCCCTTAAAAAGAGGTATTATCAAAGAAAATGACATTTAAAATCGCATGATACTTGCCCGCACACCGCAAATAATCCACTGCTGTGGTGAATTACAAGAATATACAGTGAGTCTACGGTAACTATTATCATCACAACAACAACCGATCCCCATGCTAACTGTAAATATACGTAAAAGAAGTACTCTTCATGGTCGAAAAGCATGTAATTAACTCTAAACAATTGTTGTCGCGGTCGAGTTTCGTTTAGTGGAAGGACTACGTCCAAAATAGGAAACAATAATGGGACAAATAAGAACAGTACCATAAAGATCAATAAAGTATCTGGAAAGATTATAATTGATAACTCGTGATAACTCAAAGTACCAATGGAACAAATCCTTTTTCGTTTGTATGGAAAATAAAAAGAAAATACGATTGAAAGGTTAAAGCACAATGACTTACTTCGATATAGTTGTGCCATTTTGCTGCCTTGCATGGTGACTTCTTCCAGAACGTGTAAATCATCGGTTAATTTCAATTCTTCCCATTGTTCCGTCATGAAATCAAATAATTTCTTAAACTGTAACATAGCGTTGATCTTCACAACTTTGCAACACGCTTTCGTCGAAAAATTTTTATCGTACAAACAATATTCACGTACATTTTCTCTTTTGAAATGGACATTCAATATTTTAACGACACTAGTCGCAGCTGCGATTAAATGTGGCATGCATTCGATCACTGCATTCATATCCTTGTCACATAACGACGTATATAATTCTAATGACTAATGATTGCATGTAATCCCATGTAATTGTTTAATAACATTACCTAATTATTTACCTTGCGAAGGGTTCAGTCAATTCAATTTTCTCATTTTAACTATAGTACATTTTATAAAAATGTATCTCTGTGATTTCTGTAAACATTTCTATGAAATGTACCATACGATTAATTTTCCTTACCGTTGGAACAACAATGCCTGTAATACTTGTCACCATTACGGTTACAATAATATTTCTGAATTTATCCCTCTGTCGTGGATCTTGTCCCAAAAATTGCAAATATTTCTCTAACATTTTATAGTAAGGAATTTCGAATATATTCAGCGATTGTCTTCCGGTCTTCTGAGATACTAGATGCTCTACGTTTAGATTAATGGAAGAATTATCACTCATTAAGTTATTTCAAATAATCTATATTAATTAACGTAACGTTTACAAAGAATTATTTTAATTATTTACGTATTCATATATTTTAGTCTTTAGTATTAATTTTAGTATTTTTTTTTTGTGACGCGAACTGCATTTGAGCCACGCAGAAACCAAACTGATCAACTCCATTTTTTATCAGCTTGTGAATAATATTTAATAAATTATTGCTCAAAAAGCAAGTAACTTACTCCGACAAGTTCACTTATCGTAAGGAAACAATAGAAGTAATGGCGAAGTAGATTTAGGAAACAATAATATTATCACTTTTGTGTTTTTCAGTTTAACAGAGTTGATCAATGTAGTTTCTGTTTCAACACATTTCTGTTTCTTACTATCCATGTCTCCAGGTTTTCAACTAATTAACAACAAAGCCACAAAAATGTATGGCGACGTGGATGCCCTGTCCCGCCGAATGAACGAAAGTTTCTATTCTTAAAACCGAGAAAATCAATCTGCAAGTGCAATTATAGTCGAAACTTTATATCTCTGGTAACTTGTACTTATAGTTACAGTTGTCAAATGTAACCGCGAGTATTTACTGATAAATTGTGCGTTGCAATATATAGTTTAATTGAACTGTCGCTGGATGGCAATTACATTATTACGACTCAAGGTTTGCAGTGACATCTGCTACTTGAAAATTGAAGATCTATGATTATATTGAAATATTCATCGAGCCCCTGGCAATATGAGTGATTTGTTAGATCCTCAACGTGTTTTACAAAAGGTTTTCAAATTGTACAGTCAAAGTTTTTAAATTCTTAGAAAAGTATCGTATCCTCACAGTATCTCCTTTGACTTCTAGTTGATACTTCGACAAAGGGATTCGTTCAAGAATATTATTTATGAGTTGTAGATACTGTAATTTAAAAAGGTCACCAGTTAAGTGAACTTAACTATTGTTAATTATATTATATTATATTTTGCTAAAATTAGTAGTAAACGTTAATTTTCCTTATGGCTCAACGAAAAGTGAGAGAAAATCGCTGCGAGGTCGACTCACTATTTTGGTAAGGTTTATGACATTTTTTTTTTACACGATGAAGTAAAATATGATTCAGTAATTTTATTTACATCCAATCATTAATATTAATTATTCGCATTCCTGATTTAACTGGGACTACAGCGTAGTAAATTTGACTAAACATTTTCGACAGATAACGTTGAACGATCATTTTAGCGACATTAACATCGTGATGTAGGACATGCACGTTTTGAAGGTCTTAAAAAAAAAGGGAATAAAAATAATTGTAATTAGCAGTTAATATTATATATAACGAGCAGCTGTTAGAATTATAAATACATTGGTACGCACCACTCCGAAATTTTCCATGTTCATTTCATACAGTCCGCCTGCCGTTAATTTACATGGTTTTGCACTTCTTATTTGCATTACGTAAAGTATTTTTTGAATTTGCACGGGTGTCCTATACCATATGGAACAATATCTGTTGTGACATACAATAAAGCAATGATTGCTCAGGCTATTTGCATGTGAAGACCACAGGATAAAGATGTGATAAGTTACTCTTATTATGTTTTATTATTGAAATAAATTTTATACTCGTTCACAGCTAGTCCCATACTAAATTTAATTTTTTTTGAATATTTTTGAAATATTAATCGTTATAATATTTATTATATTGTTGGTTTTTTTTTAAATCTTATAATTAGATCCTAATCACTCTATTATATGTAAAAATAAAAGTAAAATTATCACATTTATCCCTATATAGTCTACATATTCTATGCGTATATTAAGCATATACATATTATTTGCTAGCTCAGCACAATGATCCAGCAGCACTTGTCCAGGTAAACTGAGCACAAATAAATGAAACTGATTGGCCCCGCAAAAAACCAAGCTTCTAATTGCTTCCTCTGGCCTGTTTAAATTCATCATTGCCTGAAAAGCAAAACTCTCGAATAAAACTGTCGTAAATGTTCTTTTTTTTTTTTTTTTTTTTTAATTTCATTCATTGTTTTCTGTGAAGATTGTCTTTACTTGCACAGCTGTCGCGCTGATTATTAACATATTTAATCCAACTTGAATTAAATAAGTGTTTCGACTGCTTTCATTTAGAATATTATAAAACCTTAAAATAATTAGGGAACAAATTAGCGTTCTTTTTTATTTGAGTTTATTATTAGAATTTATTTTGAATTTATTATTATAATATATTATTAGACTGCGAGTGTTCATGCAAAATAAGAAATATTTAGAGATGTATAACTATAAATGCACATAATACGTAGAACTATATGTATAAAATAAACTATAATATAATATTCATTATAATGTAGTTGGTAAAATAAATTCGATATAGATTTTATTGTTTCAATCATATGTTCATACTTATATACAT